GATCTCGTTCATAAATAATGATTGTCATAAGAACTGATCAAAGATCTGACCATGGACAAGATCTTACACATGTTTTTATGCCTGTTGCACTATATTTATATGCACAAATTATCCCTGCATCTGTGTAAACCAATGCATTGGCTATACTGAAGAATTATGGGAGTTGAAGTCAAATACATCTTGAGAACTTCAAGCCACATTGGTTGGATTTACAGTAGGGCTTAGTGCTGCCCATCATAAAACATGGGATATGGCTGATCACAAGCTCAGTTCTGTAACTAGTATTTACCAAATAACAATAGCTACATTTATAAATAGAAAACATCATAGAGTTTTACTTCATAAGCACTAAGGACTTTTTGTCTGTTTCAGATCCTTGTTTCGATTTAGAGGACTTGTGCACATCACCTAGGCATACCCTATAACTAAAAAGCTGCCCTGCTTTCTATTATCTGCTTTTGAGACTAACGTATTGAAGACCAAGGCAGCTGCTTTTGACAGTGCAAATGGAGTGAATGATTGCAAGTTATATGTTATACTTACATAGCTAAAACATCACAAGTAGGTGAACTTCCATATCTTGCTAGACTGTTTATTACAAATGCAAAACTAGAAGAAGAAATGTTAAGATCCACAAATTCTGATGGAGGGAGGGTGAGTAGTTTGCAGTCTGTTGTGAAGAATGGGTGCTTGTCAAAAGAAACAAAAGAGGCTGTTTATAAGTGTGTATTCTGCCCATTTTGTCATACAGAAGTGAGAGTTGAGTATGTCAGGAGAAATATACAAGTAAGTTGAATGCACCAGGAACGGGGTAGTTAAAATATATATGTGGTCAAACAAGGGTAGATCTAGACTGAGAGGGTGCTCCTTGATTGTGAATACAAAAGTGAATGGCTGTTGCAAAAGAAGTATGTGGAGGTGGCTTGGTCATACAAAGAGAATGAATGAGGATCAAATCTCTCACATACACACACGAAATACATATGAAGGAAGTGTAAATGGGTTGAGAAAAAGAGGAAGACCAAGATAGTGGTTGGATGCAACATTCTAAAAAAAAAAAAGAATGAATAAAAGGTAATATATGAATCAGTATATGGACATAGTGGAAGCAAGGCTAAAAAGGTATGGAGAGATACCTTTATCAGGTTCTATTAGTGGCTGGAGCAGGAATGCAGAGAATGTAAACATGCAACTGTCTTTATCCAATTGTTCAATAACTGGTGGGAGTGTGAAAAAAAAAGGCAAAGCATTTCTACAAAGGGAGAAGGAACTAACCCTATCCAAGTGCTAAATGTCTAGGACAGGAATAAGGCAGCCTCAGGTTGTCTAGATATTTGGGCTACAGTTCCATAATCTCTTACCACTGGGAACATGGGCTGCAGCTTGTGGGAGTAAGTCCAAAGCATCTGGTGAATAGTGGCTTGTCTATCCCCCTTCCTAGGGATACCAAATGCCCTCTCTTGACAGCAATTCTGCACCAGCTATCCTACTATGGAGAAACTACAGGAAATCAGATTCTAGGAAATTATAATAGCATTGCAATTACAAGCCTGCAGGAGGCTTATTGTTTCCATCTTTGCTCCAAAATACAAATTCAGTGAAAATTTGATTATTTAAGTTCATAACTAAGCTGAAGAGACATCATGGGAACTGAGAGGTCATGTGTTCTTCACTCGAATAATTGTTTGCTGAGTATAATAAAAGCCCACTGGATAGTAGATGTGGATAAGAGAAAATTCAGAATGTAAAATGACATGTTTAATATATATTGATTACAGTGCCTCAGATAGAGACCCAAGGGCTGATGCTAAGTTTCATTTGCACTATGCCTTCTCCCCTTCAGTTTTCTCCAGCCATGGGGCAATGCAGAAATGCTGCCCACCTTCTGACTGGAGGACCCATAGAGGCTCTGTATAAGTTTGGCCCTCTAACCAAAGGGACCCAAATGGTCTTCTTGAAGGTAAAGCACCACAAGAGTGTGAGCTACTTGCAGCTCATAAAAAAATATTCACGTTGGCTCTAGTTTCCTGTTCCACAATCTGGGTATAAAGGGTATAAAATGTATTTATATACAAGGTAAAGTTGGGTAATAAAAGGATTGGCTGGAGAGAACAGACTGTCTACACCAAGTTTAGACCAGTGCTTGTGCAGCCATGAGGTTTTTCTCTTCTGTGTATGACTGAAGTAGCCTTCAGTTTGGCCCTCTCTAGATAAATTGGGACTTCAATTCCCAGAATTCCTAGCCAGCACATCTGAAGGCTGATAATTTTGGGAGTTACTGTCTGAACCCACTGGATGTTCCTAAGTGGTGAAAAGCTGCACTAAATTGGCAACCAGGTAGTAAACGTGGGTCAAAACCCTGTAACTAGGTTTTACTGGTGTGCTTTCTTTTTCCTGTACTACATCAACATGAATTACACTTGCCTACTATTCTTATAGATTATATATTTGTGTTATTAAAATGTTCCAGTTCCATGGAATTTCACATTCTCGAAATACTGAATGGCACAATATGATGGTACAGAAGACTCTATGGCCAAACCAACACATTAATGGAAATGCAATCATCTTTGTACCATATGGAACTGAATGCAATTGGGGTGGTGGAAGAGATGGGTAAACTTGTTTCACATATGGCCATTACAATAACAGAGTATTGCATAAACTTGGTACATCTATTTTTTACAAAAAGTACTGTGTCTTTGTGTTTCCATCATGTTAGGTTTCAGGCAGTAACATCTGTTCTCTTCAAAGTGGAACAGTATGAAGTGTATGCACACATAATCTGAGATTGCCTACATTGTTTGAATTTCAGAATATAGATGTTGAAATTGCCCACAACTTCTAATAAAATTTTCAGCACAGACAACTCTGTTGCTAGTTAACAGTTCAGGGGGACCATCAGCTCAGAGCTTGACCAAAGTTGTAATAGCTCTTTAAGGACTGGGACTTTCCCTGCACCTAAATGGTCCATATTTTTAAACTGATGTGTGTGGGAATATTTATTCCAGTTTTGGGGTCTTAATCTTTTAAGACATATGGATATTCTGTCCACCCATACATGTGGAGAGTGGAGCAGGCCTCAAATGGATTCTTTCAGTGTAGTAAAGAGCAGCTATGGTTCCTCCTCCATTCTGACAAACCAAAAGACCAGAATCCCATGTTCTTTTCTTGAAAAGCAAAAACAAAACTCTTGTCAGTTTTCTTTCTTCTGGCCAAGGAACAAAGGTGTCATCCAGCAATAACCTTCAAGGCTATACAGATCTCTAAGCAAACCTTCTCCCCTATTGGCCACCCACCTATTAAGCCAGAAGCCCTTGAATCTTTCCTGCATGTGCCCCAGAATCTCTTGCCAGCAGCCATGTCCTAACATCACCTTCTGAAACCAACACGTGACAGGTGATCCGTGGATGGCACAGCCAAGTTCACGGGCTTTGTTGAATTTTTTTGGCTTTGTGGAAGGTGTGCTTTTCTTTCCCAGACCTGTTTCATGATGTCTGACCACTCAGCACTGCAGGAGGAGAGGGTGGCAGGTGCTCTACACCAGAGAAAATAAGAGTGGAATCTCGAGAACCAGAAGACTCTTTGGATTTTAACCTCACTTGGACATTTGGAGGGATGTCACCACAGGTTTTGTTTTAAAGTACTGCTTAAATCTTATGTCTGCGTACCTGCACAGCAATATAAAGATAAACATTTGTTATGTATAATACTAGGAACATGTTTTACACATTAATTTTGCAATATGTGGCGCTCTTTGGTGTCTACAAATGAGAGATTATGCCAAAAAAATTTGCAGACGTGTTTTCTGTCCAGTGTGTCTTCTCACATATATCTACAGCACTTACACGTTAAATTCTTACATTGATACTTCTCATGCATTTATGTGCATTCTCCTCACATTTTTTATAAACAGGCTCATTTTGATAATTCACATACGATGCTTGTAATAGGATGATTTTACAAGTTTTTGTAAAAATGTCAATAACAATACTAATGTATAGTAAGTAAAATGTTAGGCTAGGACTTGAGATCAGGGTTCAGGTCCTGACTTAGATATGGAGTTTTTAACTAACCATGGGCCATCCAGTTACTCAGCCAAAAGTATAGGATTATAGGAAAGATAAAAAGTAGGGGTGGGGTGTGTGCAAACCACTCCTTTCCATGCCCAATATGTTGCTAACATATGAGCTGGTCTGCATCAGTCCTAATCTAATCTGGCATTCTGTTCTACCCTATTCTAAATCCATGTCTCATTCAATTTCCCTCCCTGGTTTTCAAAATCTATCATAAAACCTACATATAGTTACCTTTGAATTCTCATTACATGAAGAGTTTCTCCTACATTAAAAGTTTTCCAGGATACTCAGTTTAATTTATACACAAATGCTCACCCTGCCCTGATTCCCAGATAATGCTTCCTAGTATTATCAGGTACTTGGTTATCTAATTAATACAGATAATAAAGAAGCATTATCTGTGCTGCTCCAAAACTAGATCGGAGCAGCTCAGCCAATGAATTGGGATGCCCTTAAGGTATTAATCTGAATTTATCTCAGCTTTTGACCTTTTCTTTGAAGTCTATGATTGTGGGGAGGGGAAACTACCATTTTTCATCAAAACTAAATGTCTTTAATATTGTTTACTCCAAACATTTTGACCCCACCTTTGTTTTTAAAGAGGAGTTAGTGTATAATCAACTAACTACTGTAACAAGAAAAAAGACAAAGGTTACATTCCTAGGCACACTTTTACCTAGGAGTAATGGTCTTGGCTGAAAAAGTGCATAGAACTCTGATGCTCCCTGAGTGACTGCCAATTTTATATGTATTCTTGGAGCTTTTTATTTTCTATTTATTAAGAGTATTGTATATTGAGATTTTAATTGATTTTAACTGTTTTGTAAACCACCCAGAGTCATTTCAATGAGATGGGTGGTGACAAATTTGACATATAAATAAATAAAACACATTAAAAAAAAACCCCACCATTAATACAATCCCATGTAAGATTATCTGGAAATAATGGCTCCAATAGAGATGTTTGGGAATGTAGCCTGTGAGACTGGGACAGACAGCAACATCAACATCAAAATTGCAAAAATTGCAGGAAATTTAAAATGAGCAATTGTTCAATGGGTCACAAGGCAACTGAAAACCATGGGGAAGGGGGCAAAGCAGGTTATTCATTTTACCTTCCTCTACAATTCATGTATATTTTAACAACAATGTAAGGGTCATAATACGAAGTCCACATTTGGGATGTGGGGCAGAAAGGTGAATGACAGCAAGGGAAGAATCAGGAATGTCTATTAAAATTGTTTGATTCATCACTGATACTTTCAAATTGCATTTGTTGGTTAATTTTTTTTATAAATCAAGTCTCTTGGAGTTCATGGGGGTTAGCTCCATGACCGTGGCCACAGCATGTGACTTCAGTTGACTTACTGCAACACAGTATAAGTTTCTCTAACACCCCTTTGAAAAACAAAGTTATTAAGCTTCAAAGTATTTCAATAATAGCCTTAAAACTCCTGAAAAAAGACAACTATCTCCAGCCAAGACTGAAAGACAGATTTTTGGATGGCACAGAACTGACACAGATGCCTGATGCTCATTAACAGTAAATGTTATAATGTTTAATTTCTAGAATGAGAGCTAATGAAGCTCTAACCAACCTGGAAGTCTGGAAGCTCCCATTTTTATTGCTAGAGGGATAGGGTGAACAGGCTATCAAGACTCAAAATAGTTGCAAAGGTTTTCAAGAACGTTCACCATTATTTTTATATACTCAAATCCCGTGGAATGCGCTCTCAGGTAGGTCTGTATATGACTGCAGCTGTAACATTTTATGCTGATGATCAGGACTCTGAACCAAAATAGTAGAATGATTGTCACTGGCAGCTCCCCAGGCATACAAACAAACAACTGGCATCTTGTTTAAAATCCTCCTTTGTCAATGCAAGTACAAATTACTCACCTGGCAAAATTAAAGTCTATGGTAGAGAACTGGGCTTGGATCAGGCCCCAGCAAGCCCACAGAAAATGGGAAGCCTGAGAAAAGAAGGCAAAATATCAGAGGGATGCCTTTGAGATGTGTGAGTGCAAGCCAGTGAGAATTCGTGTTAACACGTATCAGCTTAACTGTATATGAGAGAGTATTTACCTACATCCACAGGTGCCTAGAAGATCCTTGGGTGGGAAGACCAAAAAAAAAAAAAAAGTCATGAATAAAGGAAGAAAAGAAAACAAGGGATGCAAAGAAACCAGTGTAGAGAGAGAAAACGCAACTTAGTATTTGGGAAAAGTACATAGAACTGTGATAATGGAGGAAGCTAGAAAAAAAAACACTGCAGAATGAACAGAGAAAAAGTCATGAAAAGGGAGAGCCATTATAGGACAAAATATTTGAACTGGGTCCACCTAAATCTCACAGCCAGATGGCTTTGAAGTTCTCTAAAATGTTTCACTGATCTAAATTAAACAGGGAAGGAGAACTATTGTTGAAGCTATAAGGTCATCATTAAGTCTTAAAATACCACTGCAAAGGAGGCTGCAAACATTCAAATTAGATTGTGCCTAGGATTGCAGGAATGAGAACCATACCCAGATTGACGCAAGTAGAAGCTGGTTTTTACAGTACTAGACTCCACTCTTAAGCAAACAAACAAGTTTGTTGGTTGTTCAGGCTACAGAGTAGAATAAACGGTTACAGAACATCCTCTTCCAACATGGTGCCTTCCAAATAAGTTGGAACTTCAATTGCTAATAAACTTATTGGCTGTGGATTATGGCAGCTGTTGTCCAACACATCAGGTTGATATGTAAATAGGAATAGCTAGAGGAATAGCTAACATAAAGGGATGAACAGAGATTAGAAAGCAAACAATGCATGTCCACAATTAGTATGCTGCTGTGGCTTTCTTTTTAATTTATAAAAATATAAAAATGGCCATTGGATTAATGCGACTTGGACAGCCTCAGTTTTCAGAGCATGTAATAGTCTCTCCTGGTCATTATGCAAATACTCACCAAAGCAAACTGGTTCACTTGCACATAGAGACTCTCCAGTTCTTCTTCAGACACTGCTCCACTCCCTCCTCTGCTTTTGTTTCCTTCTCCCTGGTCCTCTTGGCTTAATTTCTTGTAAGAGTGCAAGTAGTACCTCAGCCATTGCAATTGGACTTCCTTGCAGGGATATAAGCTGTAATCGACTTCATTGAGCCCTGGGAGCAGACAAGGCAATAGGACACTGGGTGCAGCCGGTGTCTGGCTGGATGGAAATGGGTGAAACTGAGCCCAGTAAGTACATGGGCTTAAATTCAGCCAACTGTTGGAAAGTTTGGATTGATTTTAAGATTTGTGTACCCTAATAAGTTACTATATTATTGTTGTGTATTGCTAAGAAAGTGTGAGTGCTAAGGTTACAACAGAAGAAGAAAAAATATGTTTGTAGAAGGAAGTATATCTCTTATGATTGCTATGTGTTCTGTCTGTTATTTGACAGACTGAAGGAATGTGACTAGTGGAACCAAGGAGAGAGATTTAACAGCTAGATGAGAAGAAGCTGAGAATGGAAATAAGTACATGCTGGGAGAAGAAGTCTAAGGGATAAGCTGTTGCCTCATATTGTAGTTTGCTACAAAGAACAAATATGTGTGTACTCAGGAATGAACAAAAGACCCAAACTAAGAAAAACTTTGTATCAACGCAATTAACAGCTTGATCCTTTCTTCCCAGTGCTTTTCTCCCTTTCATTGGGTTTCACATCAAGCAGAGGATATCAAAGGTCCAACTAAACAATACTTTTTTTATTGCACATATAAAAGTAAATAAGGATGGACCTATCCTAACTGCTCTTGGAATAAAGCTTCAAAAATTACAGTGCTGTGGAAAACGTCCTGTATTCTATATCTGCCAGTCTAGCCTCTCTTTCAGGGCTACTGATTAAAGTTATAGATTATAACTAGTCTCACAAGGGAGGAAGCCGTCTTTGAGATATTCTGGCCCAAACCATTTATAGATCTAAAAAAGCAACCTTGAACGGAGCTTAGTAACACATAGGGAAGCAGCATAGTTGTTCTGAGCCTAGCAATAAATAGCTGCTGAAGTATCTACAAAACAATAATTCATCTGTTGCATGTTACACTACCAGAATTTCCCAAATACTTTTCAAAATCATCTCCACAGGGAACAGGGATTGGCAACAAAGTGCCAGGTACCTCAATATTTGTTGTTGTCAAAAGCAGCACCTGAATGAGGTTTGGCTAGACTGAAACCCCCCCCCCCTTTTTTTTGGGCCCATATCCAATCTCTCACTGAATCCAGATACAGGTTCAAGACAATTTCCTTGAAAGGACAAGTCTGAGTTGTCTATCCAAAGCTTAATAATAAAAAGCTCTGGATGATCTTCCCCACTGGCATTATGCAGAAATTTCTATTTTTTAGAGGACGATATAAAGTCCTGAAGGTGGCTCAGAAGCTGAGCAATATCCAACATCACCTTCTGGAAACATTTAATCAAATACCACTGAAATCAATGCAAAATAGGGACCCCAGGTTCTGTATCAGCCAAACACCTTAGAAGATTTGTCAAAAGCCATTGAGAAATCCAGCAAAACCAAAGGGAAGCCCTATTTTGTTCTCAGTGTAGACCATCTATCACGCTGAGCAAGCCTGCTTCTCTTCTGCAATCATGCCAATTCTGTTCTAGTGCAGAACGCAACAGAAGCAAATAACCATCTGCAACTAAGATCTTGTTCTGGAAAAGTGCTACTAATTTTTTTGTATCAAATCTTGCCTTTTCCTTCTGAAAATCTTCCAGTTTGACCCTGCTTAGATTTTATGATCCTTACAGAATAGACACATGCTGAGCTGGTAGCAGACCTAATTAGCTATACAGTGATTTCCTGTATTAAAAAAGCTCATCAGAGAATTAATAGAGAAGTCTGGATAATTACATGCAGGTCCTTGAAAAGGAGTTGGTTTCTAAAATCCACCCTTAGAATCAGAATTGCAGGAGAGAGAGAGGGAGGGTCAGGGTAGGGAAATCATCTTACAGTAACCTAAAATGGCTGCTTACTATAAAGATACATTTATTTATTTATTTGTTTAGATTTATTGGCTGCCCCACTCTAGTGGACTCTTTTGGCCATATATCACTACAAACTTTCTAAAGTATAAAGTATAAGCATTAGCATTATTCAAGCTTTGCCCTCCATTCTTCGAATCTGTTGGCAAGCAATACGACAGCTGGTAACCCAGAAAAGGCTCTCTCAACTTGGAGCACAATAAGTCAGCAAAGCGAGTGATCTGCAGACACTTGGCAGCAGTTAAAGAGCAAAGCCTTTTGCTAGTAATGAGTTGCTGATGTTACTGTCAGAGAAAAGTGAAACTAAAGTTATTTAAATATAAAATGTATTTTACATTTTAGATATCAAAAGACATATCCTGCTTTTACAAAGAGCAGAACAAGAAAATGGGGGGAGGGGAAGGATCTTCACTCACCTGCAAATTCATTAAAATGATTCCCAATGTCATATGCTTGATAATTGTAGCCAGTGTATTCATAATCTATGAACCGGACATGACCTGAAAAAGTAAAACCAGGAATTGTTGGAGGTGGGTTCCTAGCAGAGAGGCTTCTTCTGAAAGAAAAATGTATGTGCATCTGCCACATTTATCTTGAATGGCTTTCTAAAATTACCAATGCTTGGTTTGCAAGCATTGTGCATGTATGACAGCAAGGTAACAAACCTTCTGCTTTGTTGTAGATGATGTTCTTGCTCAAAAGGTCATTGTGGCAGAAGACTATTGGAGATCGAAGCTGGGAGAGATGTTCTTTCATCCAGTGAATCTCTTCTTCTAACACCTCTAGGCTAGGAATGTGCATTTCTTGAAGGAAGCTTGAGAAGGAAGATAAAGTGATGCCATGCCCACTGGTAGACAGTAAACCCTTCTTAATGCAAGGATCATATTTTCTAAAATTAGTAAGGTTTGTGAGACAAGGTTCACTTTTTCTAAAGAAAGACACCTCCTAGGACATGCTGGTCCCAATTAGGAAATAATAATTCTCCATCAAATTTATATAAATTTGCCAAATAAATAAACATTTAAAATAGTAATTTTCCATCAGTAAAAATTTTCCATTAATAGTAATTCTCCAGCAAAGTCCAGATCTGCTACACTTTGAAATCTGTATCACATCCAGTGCCCATTGCTGATGTATGTTCAGATCCACATGAAATTATCAATGAGGCACACTCTCTTTTGGACTCTCATCACTGAAGTATTAAAAGTTGTAATTTGTAAGCCCTAAATTGCAATTACTATCTGAACAACTATCTGAAGGACCAGCTAGGACATCAACATTTAGCTCCAAGTTTCCTGGAAAATTCCTTTCACTTTATAGAGCTGAAAGATCACTGAAATCATTGGAGGAAGCTCTGCTGCATATGCTACAACTCCTTTGATGTCAGAAATGGTATTGAAAACACTTAAATGTTTTTTACACAGTCACAAGAGTCTCATTTAATCCTAATTTGTACAAGCAATCTCAGTCCCCCCCACCCCTGCCCAAGTTCTTCTGCATTATTTTACTTTTGCTGTATCTGGTTAGAACTTCCTACTTGTCATCTCCTCCCTCCCAAAGCTGACTCTGCTTCTGCAGCTAGCATCTCTTAAGCCACCTCTGATCCTATTATTCACCCATAGTTAAAGACCACTCGTACCAACACAGCTATTGTTTTACAACAGATTTTCATGGATGATTTAGGCCTACATTCTTTTGAAGGTATTTAGTGAATGGCAAATGCAATCCTAACTATACAGTGCTCAGACGTCTTGCCCTTTCAATCATCTGTGCAAGTAGACCGAGTAGAAGTGAAACTGGACTGGACGACTAGAAGCACGCTTCTAGAAAGCAACATCAGTTATACACAGATGTGAAAATCTTGGAATATTTGAGCATGGTTTGTAAATGTGCCAGAATCTACTGTTAACAGAGCTTGCTGTAAGAACTTTGCAAAAAGATGGATCATGTCCCTGGCTGTCCCCTGTAGTAACCTAATGTACTAATTGTGCTTAAAACGCACAGAAGGCAAATGGGCATTTTGTTCAGAGAGGAAAAAATCATCTATTTCAGAATGTGTGCTGTTGTTATTCATTCCACAATATGATTCTGGATGCAATTCTAAACTATATAACTTTTCACTTTAAATCATGTAAAGCTTGTAATATTTAATGCTCCTATATCATAAAAGACACTGACCTGTACTCTTCGGGGTTCTGATATTTCTACATTACTCAGTATTACAACCCAGCCTTTCATCTCCTGGTACTTTCTATGAGCATTGGACTATAACATATCTGGAGAGTATCAGATTATGGAAGACAATCAAACCTGATAAACCATGTACAGGTATCCTCAGCTTTCAACAACAGGCAGAATGAATTATTCTTCTTAGCTTATGGCTAGACAAATTCACTCTGACATGTGTGTCCTTTCAATTTTGAATGTGCAGAAGCTCTGTCTAGGATCCAGCCATAACTTTTATCATTCTGTGGGTTTTGTTTTAAGTAAAAACAAATTAATTATCTTTCCTTGACTAACTGCTTGTCCCAGCATTTTGCACCCTATGCTTAAAATAATTAAAATGCCATAAACCAAAGCTGTTGAGTAACTGTGGTATTTACCAGTTATTCACTTTTTATTTTTTACCTGGAATTTGATGCCTTTCTGGCAAACTCAGTTTTCACAATATTAAAGTACTTGTACAGTCTGTGCCAAAGACAGGGCTTGGGGAGACTCCCATTGGTGTGAATCTTGTGCATTTTTGCCATCTCCTGGGCTACTAGCCTAAAATAAATCACAAAGACAGAACAGTTCAGGAGCTATACACTACTTTTAATGTAGCAACTTCTAGAAAAGAGAGAGCCAGTTTGCTGTAGTGGCTAAGGTGCTGGACAAGAAACTGTAAGACGGTGAGTTCTAATCCTCCCTTATCCCTGGAAACTGGCTGGGTGACTTTGGGCCAGTTCCTCTTAGCCCAAGACATTAGGTTGCTGTTGTAGGGAAAACAGGAGGAGGTGGCATTATGCATGCTGCTTTGAGTTGTACAAATTAAAGACAGGATATAAATCTAATAAAGAAATAAAACAACAATGGATCGATTAGAACTACATGCAAAAGCTAATTTGGAAAATCCAGCCAGATATGAGTGAATTCAGTCATGTTTATTTAAGTGATTTGTCTTTAAAATGTTCCATAATTTTGCAAGTAAAACATCCCCAGCTAATTTTCTGAAAATTGAAATGGGCCCACAAAAATCAGCAAAGACATTATACTCTATTTTCTGTGTCCCAATACATCTAACATAACATCTTACTTAATACACTAGAAAATAGTACCAAGGAATAATAATAGGGCCATAGCAAAATAGGAATTTCATTTTTTATGTCCATCCATCCAACCGCAGAACAGCATTTCCCAAGTTTAGCATATGGGATCTCTGATCCAAGAGAACATTAGACAAAAGATTGCTTCAAATATGATAATTATTTTCTAATTAAAGTATCAAGGTAATTGATAGAAATTATGAAGTACTAGGATTCTCACATATTGCTACTTTGGGAAACTAGCTTTCTATGTTTTACTTACTTCTAAGACAATTTCCTTAATCTAGTGCTCTCCAGAAAGGCTTGATAATGACATCCATAATCTTCAGCCTGTATTAGTCTCTCTTGGCTGGGGAAGGTGGGGATCATAGTTCAACCTATCTTAAGGGAATCCTATTAGGAAAGATTGCTATAGGACAAAATCTGCAAAGGAAATACTCCTTGTGATCTCCTGTACAACTAATATGAAGTTGTCAGTAAATGGCCTAAAAAATTTCCCAAGGGTCTTTAAGTTTGTTCACCTGCCACAGGAGTTGTGCTTCCCATTAAATGGAAATGAAGTTTCAAGCATCATCACTGGATTCCAAAACATGCATCGACTACAGTCCTTTTTAATTATTCAAAATCTGTTTGGGCAGAAAGCACCAGGATTTTTGGTACCATCCATCTGGGGTGGGGATGGAGGGGAGAAAAGGGACCTGATGGGCTTGTATCCTGCCATTAAGGCAAAAAAGGATGAAACACTGTCTGTTACACACAAGTTGTGACGTTGCTGAACAACTATTCATTTCTGTATTATCTCCAGGCTTTTTTAGTTGGGGTTGGGGAGGTAATACTTTTGCTGTATCACCACCATAACGCTATGGGGCCAAACTAAAAGCAGGAGGCAAAAACCTTTTTTGGTTAATAATAACCATCACCTTTATTTATCTGTTTGGGCAAGGAAGTACACAACCTGTTTTGATTGCACATACCTGAACATATTTGGCTGCCGGATATGTTCTGGTCCCAGAGCCTTCCCTGACATGAACTCATAGCAATATCCATTCTCAAAAGTGCAGAAGAGATTGGGGGCACAGCCGTTGTCCTGAAGGACTTGGAAATTTCTCAGCTCATTTGCTCGGTCCACAATGAGTTCTGTTTTCCTGCCATAGACCCGCACTAGGACCGCATCTCTCATGTTCTCATCTGTGAAACAAGCCATTAGCTTGTTGGTGATGCCTTCAGTGAAGAGCTTAGACAGGGACAAAAAAAAAAAGGCATGCTGAACAACCATGGTTGCTCTCAAAGGACAGTCCACACATAACATTCAGCCATCTGAGGTTTGATGGTTTTTTAAATGTGTATGATGCGAGAAGCCACAAATTTTGGTTTAGCATTACAGGTAGTCTCCAGGTTAATAACATCCGGTTTAAGGATGACCCCTAGTTAAGAACAGAGCCTATGGTAGCAAAATTTGAGTTAAATACACAATGATTCAAGTTAAATACAGAGTGGTTCAAGTTCATTACACAATACTACTTATACAGTAGTATACAATAATATTGTTCCAGCTTATATACAAATTCGACTTAAGGACAGACTTTGAGAATGGAAATCGTTCTTAAACTAGGTATTACCTATATATGTGAATGACTCATTGTGGTTATTCAACAAACCATGGATAAAAAAAACCCTTGGTTTTATGTTATAAATGAATCAGGCCAAAGAGTAAGAAACTGTTTAATTTCAAAAAAACAAATGTCCCAGTTTCAACTTGCTTTGCTGTGAAGAATGCATTTGGAGGAAAGGTTTCACAAAAATAACACTGAGATCTCAGTTGTAACAACTGAAAAAAATGTTGTTGCTACCACGTTTGGATGCTGCCCTTCCACCTTTCAAAATAGAAGTCTCTCTCCCCACTCCTTGCCCTGGACAGCAACACCCCTAGATCCAGCTAGGCTGCCACCTTCTCATTTTCATTCCTCACAGCTGCGGACAATGCTCTGGCACAGCGTCTTCCAGCAAGCCCATCAACGGCTATGCCAGTTGAGGCTAACAAGAATTGAGAACAATAACTGAAGAACATCTGTTGCATGTCCCTGGCCTAGCTTCTACAGCCTCCAAATGTATTGGACTCCCATTTCTCAAGCTGAGGATGATGGAAGTCACAGTCCAACCTATTGGGAGGGTGACTGGGGAATGCTGCTGTAGTGCTATGAAAAAGCAGTTGCAGAACCTCCCATTCCACATTGTAGTTCTGAAGTATGTTCTTGTGGGTGGTGGAAGAGTCATTTGATTGTGGCAGGGTAGAAGTTTAATAATAAATAAATATCCTGCTTCACAATCTTGCAGTGAGGATTGCTGAGATCATATATGTAAACTGCTTTCAGTTTTATATAGTGCTATTTAAATGTCAAGTATTATTTTATTATATTATTATTATTAAATTTATATGCCACCCAACTCCCAACAATGGAGATATTTGTTATTTTGTTGACAAAGAAAAAAAAACGATGCACTCTCATGATATTTATAAAAGGGACAAAGATTGGTTTTGTCATAAATGCATGGATGATTTCTTAATGTGTCAAAACATGTAATATGGGAAGCAAGCAAGTTCTTATTGACACCAATACCTATGGGTTTTTGCTTCTGTGTCAGATTCTATTAAAAATGCAGACAAACAAAAATATGACCCACACAATATAATAGATTCATTTTGAATTGTTTCCACTGATTGAAAAGCTCCTATGTTTCTTGGTTATCTAGCAATATACAATTGTGTATTTTAATCCCAAGAACAAAGCACAAGTCACCACCTTGTTATGCCAAAAGCATATTGTCATTTCCTGTGACAGCCATATTTAAAGAACTCCAGCTTCATTTACTAAATGAATTATATGTACCTACATCTCTCCAAAAATCTCAGGGTTTATATACTGTACAGAACCGCAATGTGGAAGAGGCCAGTGAAACTAAAACTAGAAATAGATAGGAACAGTCTTAGGAAGGTGATCAAAGGTGGAGATCATGGCAATGTACACTTTGGGATAATATATTTATGGTGTTCATTAGTATATATCCTTTGAGATTATATGGGGTATAATGGGGTAGGGAGACTGCAGTCCACTAGGCTAGGTTGGGCTCCTAAGCAGTTGTAGTTCAGCAGCACCTAGAGAACTACAGATTCCCCATCCCTGGTTTAGAATGATATATTTAAACCAAGATTCAGATGACTATTCCTAATCGATTATAGGCAATTCACTGGGCATCCCTGAACCAGCTGTCACTCACTGCCTCAGCTTAATCAACTTCACAAGATTGTTTCAAGGGTAAATGAAAGGAGGGAGGAGAATATGAATGCAACCCACAGTTCATTGGAGAAAATATGTGTTACATGTGCAATAAATAAATCAGGCCTGGGGATTTAGCTGGGGACTTAGCTCTTGTAAGCTGAGACTCAGATGAAAAAGAGAGATGTGCACCAGGTTCTCTTGAAAATAAGCATCTATATTTTATATTTGCATGAAAATCATCAAAGCAGCAGGTAAGAAAGGGGTAAAAAAAAGGAAAACATGGTACACAGAAGCCAGCCAGTTTAGCAGTGCTGTGGTACAGACTGAATGAAAGGATGGGTTGTATAATATTACTGTCATTAGCTCTTGTCCTTTCATAATGTCACAGATGACGCAAGTCTAATTACAATATTTGAACTGCATGGCTCTCTAAAATGAAAAACCAAATTCAGAATGACTTGTAATCCAGCAGGCTTTAGAATACACCAAGGCTGGATGCATTTCAGTAGAGTTAACTTTGTGGGCTGGCAAGGGAAAAGTGGATTTTCAAAACAGCCATGAGACAAGTCATTTTCCCCCCTGCTCACCTGCACCACGGTGCTGAATGGATCATCCCAGCAGCTCTCCATGAGCAAAACTTGAATTCTATTCAAACTGTGTTATTATTGGGAAAAGCATTACTTCTGCTCATGAAGAATCCTTTTAAGCACTCTTTTGAATACTTGCACCATGAAATTGGGGCATAAAACAGAATACTCTATTTTAGAATTGCAGCATCCACATTTTAATTTTATTATTTTGCATTAGAACCTATCATTACATATTATTAGAATTAAAGAATTCTAAGCTCAAAAATGTGCAGTCCTTCCAAAATCCATTTCCCTATGCTCCATTTTTTAAAAAAATTCAGCAATGTAATTTGGATGCCAGGAATTACTTTGCTATTAAACCCAACTGGGAATGAGAAATCCTTGCTAAATCACTGCAAATCACCCAGCTATCTATCTGGATCTCAAAATCTATGTTCTTTCTGGCCACACCAGATATAATGTATAAAATGCATAAAGCTGCTTAATAGGGAGAAATCATTATTTTAGGGGAAGATTGCAAAGGAAGAAATATGTACACATCTTCTTTGTAATAGTACCAATAATATAAATAAATCTGTTAACAGTGACAAACAAAAGTGTGTGGATTACCTTATCTTTCATTTAGAACTGCCTTCCCTAACCAATGTTCCCTAAATGTGTTTGATTTGGATTCTAATTCTCCAATTTCTCATCCAGTTCTTAATTTATGTAGGTAGCAGAATATATATTCAAGAGCAAAGTTGAAAGGGGTATAAGCACTTGGTTCATTTTCAACATAAAGTATCTTGGCCATCATTCTGCATTGAAAAATAGGATTCAAAAAAACCAACCCAATAACTTTCAGACCTGTAGGCACTCTTGACAGGGGTTTATATGTGTTCTCTAATTCACAAAAGCATCTCTGAATTAGAATAAGCAGTTTAGAATTCTTTTGTATCGTGCAGCAATACAAAAATGCAGATTCAATGCATTTTATGTTCAAACTTTGAATATAAACATAAAGGGAGCTGAGTGGCCCTGGATCCCAGATCAATGGAGATGTCTCCATTGAGGATCCTTGCCTTGCTGCTTGGACTGCTTCTCACAAGAGAAAAGAGGGCTTAAAAAAACAACTGTCCCTAACTTGGCTGGTTGCCTGAACAGATGGAATTCTCCTTTTTCTCTTGCTTATAAAACAAGCTGCTAGACTTCCATGTAAAAGTTAACGCGAGGGAT